CGCGGCGTCCCCGGTGTGTCCGTCGTCCTGGGTCAACACCCATCCCCTCCCGCTGGGAGCAGGGAGCCGGCCCTCGGGCAGGGCTGCGGGGCAGCGGCCGTGTCCGAGAAGAGGACTGTCTCTGCGCCCGGCCCGGCCCACGGGTTGTGAGAGCACAGCGGACGTTTCGCTGATTGACGATCTGTTCCTAAACGTCGTGCAGGCAGTTCAAGGGCCAGGAGTTACCAAACTACACCGAGAAAGAGCAGAGCTGGGAGCCTGCTGGTCTGCAGATCCCCATTGAGATCGTCGGGTGTCGGGGGACAGATAGCCCAGGGCCGCAGAGTGGCGTCCAGACCGAGCCCCAGCGGGCAGCAGGGTGAGAGGGATGGCAGTGTCCTCAGAGGACCATCGGGCGCCAAATATGTCTTTCCGGTAAGTGATGGTGGAGCAAATGGCTGAAGCGGGAGAAAACAGACCTCGATCCCTACCTCACACCGCTCAGACAACAGCTCCGGATGGAGAGGCCAAGACCATAAATCTCCAAAAAAGAGAATAGTTTCATGATGTGATGGGAACAACATATTTTCTGGGGAGGATTCTTTTTAAAAAATCAAGTACAGATGAGTGGACCAGGCAGATGTGAAGTATACATGACACGTACATATATTCTCAGCTATCAAAGCATTGAATTCTGCAGTGAAGAAACTCTGGCTCCTTCCAATACACACCCAAGCAAGTAGAACAGCAAGCTGTCGTCTTGGGGCAGTCATCTCCCCCACAAGTCTGACGTGGGTCCCACAGAGAACCGCTCTGAGTGCACTGAGAACCGCTCTGACTCAAAAAGACCAAAAACTCAAGAGGAAAATGGGCAAAGACTTGAGACAATACCACATCAGAATCACGACACAACCAGCGAGTGCATGGACAGTGTCCGATTTCATTAGTCACCAGAGAATTATCTGGGTGAGGTACCTCTATATCTATACACTCACTAGAAGGGCTAAAGCGAAGAAGGCTGACAACACCATGAGCGGGCAAAGAACTGGGATTTTCATCCATTGCTTCCAGGAAAGTACGGCAGTATCATCGCTTTGGGCTTTGGAGAACTGACATAT